GGGGGCCCCCCCCCAGACCCACTCCAAGGAGACAGTGCAATACCATGGAGGGAAGGAGGAGACCAGCCGGCCGTGGGCGATAACCGGGGGGAGGGGAAGGTGCAGCAGTAGGGTGCCAGCCAATCCGACCGTAGGGAGAGGAGAGCGGAGGGGTAGACCCAAAGACCTTAAACAACGTCTATCAGAATCGCGTTCGTGTCTGACTAGGCAGCCTCTTAGGGGAACAAGAGAATGGGAAGATCGACCATAGCCTGTTGGCTGTTCTCCCCTACTGCAACTGTAGTCCCGGCCGTCTGATGATGGTGGTTAAGGGGTTGCCGACCGTGAGAAGGCTAAGCGAGGCCAACTCAGGAGGAGGATAGGATTCCCTACCACGCGTGGGGGGAGGAGAAAGGGGGAGAAAGGAAGATCATCAACGGCCGCCTAGGCCAGCATGGCAGGTGTTTTACCGCGTCTCTCATGTAGTCCCTTGTTCTGGGAGAGATAGCGTCACTGTAGTGGATGGGATCCCACCACCTGCCAGCCAGCCAAGGAGGGCCTCCGACCGACCAACCCCCAGGGAGAGAGAGGACCCAGGGACGGTAGACCGAAGTCAATACCTCCGGGTGGGAGAGGAGAGAGGAGCCAGACTCCCCTAGGCCGAGGCCAAAGGCAGGAGTGGGCGGGAGGGAGGAGAATGTTTCGCGACGAAACAAAAAACTCACGATGAAAACCGTGGTGTTGAGTTTTCAATCGCCGGAGGTGTAGCGGAGACGGAGGATGGACTTAAAGCTAGGGAGGCACCTCAATATTTATATTCCGCGTCTGGGTGGTCGCGGGCTACATCCAATCCCTTACTGACTATGTACCTGCCATACTAACGATTCAGTGCCTTCAAGGTGCGAACACCTTTTGACCCTGAAAACTAACTTCCCCACTCTCTTCCTAAGCGGAGTGATTAGCTCCGTCAAAGGACTTATCAATGACTCTTCTATGTTCATAGCTTAGAGTGCATGATGAAGATAACTAACTCGACTAACGAGTTGTTATTAACCAATCGTCACTAGTCTCCAGATGACCCTAGTTGACGCGAGCAGAGGATGGTGCGGCTACTTCTCGGAATAGCAGCACCAAGACTTCCAGAGGTCATCGCTCAATAACTAACCGACCAATCTGGTTCAACTAAGTCTTATCTTATGGAGCGGAGCTCCTTCAACGTTATCCAGCGAAAACCCCTCGGTCGCATGCCTCGTATCTCCGCAGAGCGGGCTGCATAGATACCTTATTGTTCCGTGCGATAATATGATATCGTCACGATAACTACGGCGGGGCCCAGAGTCGAACACGTGACCTTATGCATTTAGTCACGTGCCGCACCGATTACGCTTCTATGTGTAACAACACCCCTCAAGGGCCTTAGGTATCAGTGCACTCTAGCTGCATTCTCATATATGTACTTCAGTTTCTGTAATACATCTCCTAGACCGTTACTCATATATCCTTACCTGAGTTAAAGTACCTCCCCAAAAGTGTTGGTGAAATGACCTTTTTACACCAAAAATTGGCAGGTTTGATCAACCCCCACACCTGGAATTGCTTCAAATAATCCTTGCAACCCATATAATTATTTTCACCTTCACTGCAGCTTTTACCTGACACCATTTATTTTGTCAATTTATTCCATGGGGCTAAACTACAAGTCTCCAAAGTTGATAATACCCGTTGCTATGCCATTTTTGTATGTAAAATAAAGCTTTTCAGTGAAGTCAAAACTTTAGGACTGCATAGCTTCTCCAATTCTTCCCCAAAGTTATTAAGAGTCAAGTAGGAGTAGGGTAGGATTATTGTAACTACATACCAGAAGTCAGGTTGTAAAATCTTGTGTGGTTCCTAAACTACCAGTGGCGAAAAATCAATGTTTTTGGTGTAAAAAGCCCATTTTACCAACACTTTTGGGGAGGTACTTTAGTTTCTACCTACAGACATTCCTTGATTTGCAAATAAGCTGGGCACTCGCTTACCCCAATTACAAAATATGTATTTTCTTTCTTCGAGTGCAGACTGCAGTTAGCTGCAGTAACTAATTCTATGAATCTGAGGGAGTATAGTAAAAAGCCAAGGACCCAGAAGAAAAAATAGTTTGATGCTACGGTTGCCTGTGCCACTACAGGCACCAGAGGTCGGAGCATTGTGAAACGAGATTCCATTTGTGAGGTGAGCTGGAGATTGTGACTGAGGTGCAGTGGAAGCTACTGTGTCGTGCGTGAACATTGGGTAACACTCACCATTGCGAGCCATTTCCGTCAAGTTCACCCGCCTCTTACCCTTTCATCACTCTAGCCATGATCGAAGCTCGGTACCAGCCCGATTCTCATGAGCAATATAGAGAATTCACTTGGGTATTCGTAACCTACACCAATCTAGTCACCACATAAGCGACGCTGGCAGTTCACCATTCACTATTCCAGTGCAATTCTGGCTACCCTGTTGCTATTGGATAGTTGTACTCGAGTATGATCGGGGTCTTGTTAGATGGTAGAGCTATTGCTTCACATCCCACATAAAAAAATTTATTGTCCAATTCTATAATAACTTCACCTTTAGGGTACGGTTCATTGTTCGGGGTCTACCGTTACTGAACAGAAAAACCGTCTCGATGTTTCAGATTTACTAAACGCCAGTTACACGAACAGTTTGGTAGCTGAAGGGAAATGTCGATTTGTACGGGTAAACTGATGGGAATGGTGGTATCCAAACAGGTCCCAAGTGATGACTGTCGTAGCGAAATCTCCCTGTTCCGAGTCACGGTTCCTGAAAGGAGTTTGCTATCACCAAGGCGGTGGCTAGTACTGCTGATGTATAAGTTTGTTAGTTAGTTTGATACTGTATGGAGCAGTTGGAGCTGTATGTGAACATGGTCACCAAAACCTCCCTAGAGCCCCGGTCTTTGTTCTGAACTGGCACTTTAGGAATTATTTAGCACTTGTGGCTTTATCTTCCCTATATTGGTCTTGAATGTGATACTGGGTTACCGTCTTGACAGATCTACCGCTCTTCCAAGCTGTTCTTCATATGATATGTGCTCGGGTACTTTTTGGAGGTTCAATCCGCCGCAGTGTGCGGTTCATTGGCACTATCACCAGAGCGATGATCAAGCACAGGCATTTTGACACCTGTCATACTCGGCACTAGTCTCATATCCTGGGACTGTGTTGCATGACGAGGAAACACATTACCACTCATTAATTTCATCTCTTCCACCACCACATCCTACCCCCCCCCCCCCCCAACCAGACACCTCAAGAAGAACCCGGCACAATGGTAACCCCCACTATTCCTACCGCTCTGCATGCTCTAACCCTCACGTTCAAGAAAGCCCGTCTATGCAAACTCTTTATCGACGTAACGCAAGAAGTCGACAAAGACAGACCTTAGGATGATCCCTTAGGTTCGTGCTTCGCTGGCGGTTGGGTCTACGACAAGCTCCTAGTGCGACGTGGGATAAATAATATAACTGGGCACTGTTTCGAAACTTGAATTTCCGTGCGCATCAGTGCAAATATGGAGAAGTATGGCATCGAACCGGACATGTGAGCAAAGTCGGGGGCACCCCCGCCAGGTCCGGGCATCTGGGGGCTGCCGGTATGGGTATTCTCAAATTGGGGATGGATTTTGTTGATCTGAGGAGTGAGTTGGTCGGATTCCGCATGCAGTTTGTTTCACTGCACCCTTATCATCACTCTTTCACGGGGGTATTAACCTGATGGCCCTAGGAATCCGGAACCCCAGAAAAAGACGTCCTCCACCGCTACTGTGCTATCAACACCTTATTTTACAACCCACACACCGAACAAGTGGAGGGTTTCACAGGCCTCGGCCTGTAGGACTTGGCCGACCGCCTAATCCGCACCCCACTACCCCCGCAAGAAATCCCAGACGATGACCTCCTCCGCGTCCTCTGCCTAATCCCTTTTGCCTCACGACTTGGCTTTACCATAGTTCTTGAAGCCAAGGCCGCCATGAAACTAGCGGAAATTAAGGCATTTAACTTCTCCCTTTAGACATAAATTATCACTCATACCAACTAACCACCACCTCCCTGTTTTGCAGTCTCCCCTCAAAGCCAAAATCTCTGGCGAGTGGGTCGGCAACGAGATTGGAAAAATGTCCCAAGGCTACAATCCCCTTACCCAGTTGGATGAATACAACATACTACCTGTGCATACTCTTCTATGAACTCGAGCAATAACAATAATGGAAAATAGCATGGAAACTGTGAGAGCTCACATAACTCGTCCTAAACTTTGATCAGCCATTATACTGAACAGAAGGTATATTCAGAGTGTATAGTCTAGCAAGCGTCGGGCTGGGTAGGCGCAGGCACACGTGGGCTCCTGTAGTGATGCGGATTGGTGGATTGATGCACGAGAATGCACTCGCCTTCTATGATCCCACCACCACGCCACCACTTGCCAATGCAGTATACATACAGTCAACCAAAACCCAGTAGTCCCTTATCCATCTTTCCTTATCTGCCCCCACGCGCGGAAAAACTGAATCAAATTTCTATCAGCCGCCAACATTTACCATCGTAGGTCATCATCTGCCAAACACCCCCGGTTATGATAAATCCGTATACAGGGCCCGCATCGTCATTATCACCCATATCCCTCATGGCCTGCAAGCACAGCTTTGATCCTTGGGCCAAGGATGACCTCTTTGCCTCTATGACGAAGACAAATCCTTCTTCCATCAGGGAGATCCGATCAACGACCACAAATTCCTCATAACCCCTGGTTAAAGGTCTGTGTCGCGACCAATTCCCTCTCCCTGGGCAATAGCAAGGTACTTCGTGTACGGTTGCTAACATCTGCGATAATACGAACGATCGTTGGGTAAACCAAGTCACTAGCATTGGCTTCTTTAAATTAGCTTCTTTAAAGCAGTGAACCCAAGCGTCTAGTCCGTCCGTCTTCAAGTCCGGACGGGACGGACGGCATGGCCAGAGAGGATGCCCGGGATGGACGGCCATCTTGGCATCCGTCCGGATCATTTCCCGGGACAGACGGTTGCCCCAAGTTACAGAATCTGCCGGGGACCTCCACATGATGGGTGGGCCCTGCAGGTAATGGGCGGTCCCTGCGGATGACGGGTGGACCCTGTGTGATACAGGCCGGGGTTACCCATTGGTCAAGGACTGCCGGGACCTGTCGTCACCCTCTTATACGGTATGTAGTCTTTTCCAAAAGACGGACGCCCATGCCCCACAGCTTGAGACACCCGCCCGGGACGCTTAGGAACACTGCTTCAAAGTAGGGGCCCGACTCCGAAGGATAACCTACTGCCGTGAGGTCCCGAATTCGATCGTAAACCCCTTCATGCATCTTCACGAGAGACTCTTCCGCTTCCTTGAGGTATTCACTACCCTTCAGGATTTCTTCTACCGGAATTGCTTGACTTTCAAGTGTGATCATCTGAAACCCTAGCTTCATCTCCACATCTTCGACAGTGATATCAGAATATGACATATTCCATTTTAGTTTCCTCTTCTTCGGTGTCGTAGGATTGCACATACCGGTAATGATTGTGTGGGGTTTTCGGTGGTGGGTACTTTGAGGATTGGTGATCGTGAGCGCTGACCCTTTGCAGTGCCTGCTGATTTCTGAATGCAAAGGATTTGGGGGGTCGGTAGGGAGGCACTGCTCTACATCTTCTTATGTCATAATGACCACATAAGTACTCATACCGGTATTCAGGGCACGTTCTTACGGCATGTTAAACATACTAGGGGTATTCAAAGTTGAAAAGATGATTTTTCAGTAACGAGTAACTACCAGAAGGTGCATTAGGTTACTTTATAGTATTAGCCAATCATATCCATATGTTTCACGTAGCATATTTGAATCCCTCAAGGTAACTGAAGGTAGAGGGTAGAAGTTTCCACAGATCTTACCAATACTGAAAATTTTCAGTATTTGTTAACAAAAGATCCAAGTGAAGAGATTTTTATCAGAGAAAGCAGCTAATTATTTTTAAAGTGTGCAATAATATTTTAAGATTTTCCTCTGATTTTTTAAAAATTTCTTTTCAAATCATCTATCATATTGAAGTTCTGGTAGAGTTCAGTTGATACAAATTTTGGAGTAGATACGGACCTCCAGACCTCCGTATCTAACCAAAAAAAAAGTATGGTATGGTAAAGTAAAATGAGGGTAAAGTAACTGTTTTTGTGTCTGCCAAGCTTACATGAAACAGCAAAGTAAGCTACTTTTTTTCAAGTTTTTCAACTTTGAATACCCCTACTCGAGTACTGTACACGAGGTGCAAATGCGACTTGCGCTGCAACGAAGAATCCAAACCAAACACCTGAGATGGACTGAGGCCGGGTAATCACGACCATAGGCGACCTTTTGCCTGGCGGTAGTCCAAGGTGACGTCATACAAATATGATATCAATGTAAAGTTAGGGCCTGTTTGGATGTCTGAGATTAAAATCTATGAGATTCGAAATCCATGGATTGATGGTCGGAAATCAAGAAATTGAGAAAAGAAACAATAGGATAATATTATTGGTTACCTAGAAATGTGGCGGAACAGGGGATACTGGGTGTTCTGACGAACTAAAACATGTGGTAACTAGGATAATAGCCAATTAGATGCTATAGGAGTACTCTGAATAATCATACATAGAGGCACTAAGGGGTAGGGAAAAGAATCAAGATAAAAAAACAACTTCCAAGTTTGAGACTTCTCTGAAGCAAGAAACGCCGGCAAAAACAACCATGAGTGGTCACCTCAGTCATGTCGAGCTTCCGAGACCAACCCCGAACCAATCACGAGAAGCAGAAGAGGAAGAGGAAGAGGAAGACAAGAGTTACCAGACCAGTGTTCTCAACTCGGAGAATTTGAGAAAAATAGTGTGCTTGATTGGGCAGAGAAAGGCAGCAACGCTGGAAAAAACAACAGTTCATACATTGATTTTGGCCGGATCGAAGTATCTCGAAGAGGTTATTCAAAGTAATAACCCATACCGTGTCCGAGAGGCATTACGGATGCCTCTATCCGTCTTTCAGCTATTATGTACCCACTTAGCCACGAAAGGGTATTTGAAAAGCACATCACCGGTGTCAGTCGAAGAGCAGATAGCAATGTTTATGCGGATAGTAGGAAAGAAGTCATCCAATAGGGATACTCAGGATAGGTTTCAGTATAGTGGAGAGACTGTAAGCAGGTAATAGTTAATATAACCTCTTTATACTATTTGCAGATTTGAATATTAATTATATATTTTACAGACACTTTCACGAAGTCTTACAGGCTTTATTGTACTTATATAAGGACCATGTCACAATGCCATCTATCGAGACTCCAAGACAAATTCAACAAAATCGAAAGCTATTCCCATACTTTAAGGACTGCCTTGGAGCAATTGACGGTACCCATATACTTGCTAAAGTTGCTGCTGACCAAGTTGTCCCATTCCGGAATCGCAAAGGTACCGCGTCACAAAATGTCCTTGCTGCATGCAACTTTGACCTCCTTTTTGTATTTGTACTTCCTGGATGGGAAGGCTCTGTGCATGATGCACGAGTACTGCAAAATGCATTGGATACTGGGTTTAAGGTTCTAGATAGTAAATTCTATTTGGCAGATGCTGGGTATGCTCTAAGAAAGGGATTTCTTACACCCTATCGAGGAGTACGGTATCATTTACGTAAACATATCAGTTCATCACATAAGTAGGATGTTAGCAAGCACAATAGATTGTTTTCAAGTAGCTAATAATATATAATCATACAAAGGCCAGAGACGAAGGAGGAACTGTTTAATCTTCAGCATTCCCAGTTGCGAAATGCAATTGAACGAATCTTTGGTATATTAAAACGCTGCTTTCCTATTCTCGCTACAACTCCTGAGTATCCCTTTCCTACACAAGTTCGTCTTGTACTAGCACTTTGTGCTTTGCATAATTTTATCCGAAAGCATAGTACTATTCATGAACTATCAGCTTGGGAGAGTAGGCAACTGGATGAACAAGGTGAGAATGAAAGTTTACAAGTAACAGGAGGTGGATTACGAGAGGATGCATCAATGGCTACCTTGCATGCTAATATTGCACAAGACATGTGGAATAATTATATATTGCTACGGGAGGCTCGATCACAGAGAAGCTGATTGTATTTAGAAAGTCTTTCTCTTTTGAATTTGTTTTTCAAGCCATTTATCACGAAGAGAACCTAACTTCATAGCAACAAACATTTCAGACATGCATGGTAGTTCAAAAAGCTCTAAAGCAACTAGCATATCCTCATCACAAAGTTTTTTTCCATACTCTTCTTGTAACAAGTTCACAGCCTGCTCCGTCTTACTTATTGCCAACTTCTCAGCTTTCTCTCCTACTTCACGAAGTGCTATAGCAACTTCATCCTCCTTTTTTACTCGTACCCTCTTATACCTTTTTGCCACTTCTACTTCCTCTTTCTCTGGTTCCCATGCCACCTTCTGTCCAGAGTATCCTTCCTCCTTTAGGCCCCTCCACTTTTCCGTTCGCTCCTCGGGATTTCCCGTAGTAGGTGGGTGATTAACGGCTTTTACAGCAGCCTCCGAGCTAATAAGTGCGTGTCTGCCTGTTGCTCGTGCCCCATGAAATAGTTCTTGAAGTTCGGTGTAAAACCTTAGTGGTGTTTTGCGAAATCTCTTCGCACCTGGATGGTTCTAAAGGTTGTGGTTAACTTTTAAATATCAATTAATATTATTTCTTGAGATCGTACTTGAAGATAATACCCCCATACATTATCATCGGCGGTTGGCAATTGACTTTCCTCATCCCATCCAAAGCCACTGTTGTTTCTAAGCTGTGTAAAAGAATCGAAATCTCGTTTTATCTAATATATCTTTCCTATTAGTTTGATTTCTCCGGACTTTTTCTCTTTGCTCTGGAAAACCTACCGAACCATATTTACTATGGATTTGTTGTATAGAATAATCGGTTCCAAATGCCTGCTTCAAATGTTCTTGAATTGCAGTAAACGTTGCT